TGTACCTGTAGGAGGAGCTGGTCCTAATTTTGATAAAAAGCAAAAAATTGCTGCAATAGCTTCCAAATTAAAATTTTATTATTTCCCATAAGAATAAAATAATATTATTCATGATTTTAAAATTATTAATTACATTTGTATATGGTATACTAATCTATGAATCATGATTTATTCTTAATAATCAATTATTGCCCAGTAACAGTGTATACTTTAGTCCAGTAATGTAACACTCACCAGTAGCAGTACTGTGTACATCATTGGTTCCTTTGATATCATTACCACTGATCATAGCAATACGTTCTATAGAATGCACACACACAGTCAATACTAATACAATCAGTGATATTAACTTACTCTCTTGATCTAACTTGTCAGCTCCAGCATTCTCATTCATAGATTTAAGAGCATCTGACAGCGAGTCAAAGGTAGCTCCTCCTTTACTGTCAACATTATCAGCTCTACGCAACCATCTGGCAATGCATTCAATAAAACGATCTTCTACTTTTGAGTAGCTTTCTGCAATAGCGTCCAGTGAGTCCATGAGTAGTCCTAGTGTCAGTCCTAGTTCCTTCCATCTCCTCTGAGGGAAACCACATCTCTTCAACAGATTAAGTACATCAATAAGTTGATCTAAATAATAATTATTATAGATCTAGTACTTATAATGGATATTATCTACCAATAGTCAAAGGAGAAGAGAAGAGAGTAGGAGGAGAGGAATAGTTGCTGCTCTTCGTCGCCATTGTTTACTTTTAGTTTGCAGAAAGGTTAGGGTGGGGCTGGGTAAGGGCGTGGCTCATTCACTAATTGCATTCCTTAAAGATGGCGGCAGAAAGAGAACATTAAGTGACCTTTCTCTTCTCACTAGCAGAAGACACTCCAGTGAGAACAAGCCACAGGGAAAGGAAGAGAAGAAGTACCAGAGAGTTTATTCCAGGAAGTGACCAAAGAAGATTACACTGACATAATTCACACGAGTCAAGGAGGTAATTTTGTTCTCTCTCTCTCTCTCTCTCTCTCTCTCTCTTCTCAGCTTTTATGAAAATCTGGTAAGCCAATGTTTATGTGTCGGGTGTGGATTATTATTATTATTATCATATTTAATTAGATCTACGTCTCATAGAGTTCTTGCACTTATGTAATCAATGGAAGGGTGTGGCTAAATTTGAGCTAAATCGTCCGCCATGTTGGGTGGCAAGAATGTACATGGAGGAATGGAGAAAAAATCTGAATAAATTCTGCAGTTGACATTTCAGGTTAAAGAAAGGTAGGAGAGAGTACATCATGCAAGAGCTCTATTGTGAATTACTGTATGAGTTTGTGAATTTGATTGCTTTCAATTCATGTCCTAAAATATTTTAATGTACATGTGTACACGAATATTCTTTATTTTTATAGAATGATAAATTAGTATCAATTTGGCCAATGACCGTGTACTACAGTACAGGGATTTTGGCCCAATTTTGTAGAAACTTAAAATATTTGTTAAAAATCTAATTTTTGTCGGAATTAGCTCAAACTTTCTACACAACATTTCTGATACTTATTGATGTCCTTATGCTTTGTAGAAAGTTTGAGCTGATTTTGACTTTGATTTTTCAAATTACGGCCATTTTAAGAAATTATTGAGATTCTGAAAAATACCCAAAGCTATAGCCAATCTTTTTTTTTAGAAAAATGGCTTTAAAATCACCCCAAATTTTATTATATCCTTATGCTACATAAAAAGTTTGACCTGGTTCTGATTAAATTTTTGAGTTACATGTACATGTATGACCAAAATCAAAAGTAAATATACATATGTACATGTACATGTGATCCTTTATCTCCATGTCTCTCACTATTTAGAGTGTTGATAGAAAATATGTGTTTCATTTACCATTTTCTTGCTCACTCTTTCTCTTTCACTCTCTTGAACTTCCTTCCTCCTCTCCCTCCCTCCCTCTCCCCCCTCAGTTTGAGCAGGAGTTAGAATCCTTACAAGAGGCTCACAGGTCAATGGTGGCCAGTACTGCAAGGAAAGAGAAACTGGAATTGGTAATGAGACAAAAGCTAGAAGAGGAATTGAAGCAATACAGAGAATAACTGGACGGCTCCTCCAACTCAGTGGGGACTGCAGCTTCCACTTCCCCTAAAGCCATTATCATTCTCTCCCATCTCGGGGAAGATAGCAGATAAAATAAAAGG